ATGCTGATTAAGTGTTCTACCATTTTGCTACAGCTACAGCCCCAGTTTTTTCTTTCCTTTAAAAAAAATTAGATTAACTTATTTTATTATTACTTTTATTTAACAATCTAGGAAGTTTACAGCCATCAGCAGTTTCAGTGCATTTTCAGGTGCAGTTGGGAATCTCAGTGGCGCTGTTACTGTAGAGGACCTTGTATGTAGAACATTTATTGCATACTTTGAATAGCACATGTGAAGGGATCTCTCAAAAATTGACCTCATTGTTTCATTCTCAGCAAAGTGACCTGGTCCACTCAATATGACCTTTATTGTTTCTGATGTTAGAGTTATTCTCTTTTTACAAGAAATTTATGACCTCTAGAAAGATGATAATTTGATTGATATATACATGGTGTCAGGGCCTACACATTGGTTGTTTTTTCCCGTTCTTTCCCACCCACTGTTTTCTCACAAATTCTTCTTTGATCCCACAACGATCAAAGGTTCCTGGTCACAGGAAGGGAGTTACTTTCCTTGGGTCACAACTATTTTTTGCAATGCTTGGGTGATTAGTACTCCTCAGTTTCCTTTTTTAAAGCAGCCGAGGTTACATAACTGTTACTTCTAGTCGATGAATGAAAGCTGAATGCCAGGGTTGTTGAGAAAGTCCTCCCTCTCTCCCTTCTCTCCAGAGAGGGCTGGCAATAAGAGTTCCACATAGGCAGCTCTTTAACTGTCCTTCCTGGTATTCATCCTGTGATCCTTTTCTCAGTTCCATTTGTTTATGTTATAGAAGTCATGGATTGCTTTATGGGGCATACAATTTTTCATTTGTGCTTGCTACTCCATAGATTTCCTTTAGAATCACATATTAGCCCATGAGACTGTCTTAGTGAGGGTTTCTATTTCAGTCACAAAACTATGACTAAAAGCAACTTGGAGATGAAAGTTTATTTCATTTTACAACTTTCAGGTCACTAAGAGAAGCCAGGGAAGGAGGCAGAAACTGAAGTGAAAGCCATGGAGAAACACTGCTTGCTGGATTGATTTCCCCCTGGCTTGCTCAAGTTAACTTTCTTTTTATACCCTCAAGACCACTTGCCCGGGTTTGGTATCACCCAAAATGGGCTGGGCACCCACACATCAATCATTAATCGAGGAAATGCCCCCATAGATTTGCACAAAGGCCAATATGGATAGAGGCTTTTTCTCAATCGAGTTTCTTCTTTTGGGTAACTATAGCTTGCATCAAGTTGAGAAAAAAACCTAATCAGGACAGGACAGAAGCTCTAGTGCTAATATTATTACACTTTTATCACCAAACTTTCCAGAAGTCTATCATTTACACACTTTGCAGGTCTAGGGTACAGGAAATCGCTGACTCAGAGCTGATTATTTTATTATAACAAAACAGTAGTCAGAGTATCAGTATTTTCTGTATCATTCTTTAAGTCCAGTTCTCATGAGACAATGCAGAGGATCAGATGAAATATATTCCTACTATCTGTCACATTAAAGGAGAGGACCCTGGGATTAAGGCATCTCGGGGGGGGGGGTGCATGCACATGCACACACATTTATATGCGTATGTACATACATGATGTTTACACACACAACAACAAACACAAAAGCATAGATGCTCTTTCCTCCTTTATGCTATTCTGACTTTTGAGGCAACCTTGAAAAGTTAGTCTAAAAAAATAGTTGTTTTACTTGAAATAGTAAACTGAATGAAATGGCCACATCTGACTAGGAAACCAGGAACTGAGTTTATTTAATTACTGGTTATTCAGAAATAAGATATTTAGGTAGAGTATTTTCCATACATGATAATGAGCAAATTATGAGTGGCTTTATAGTGTTTACATTGTATTCACAGCCAAACGTTAAATGAGGCTTGTTGATTTTTCAAGACGGGTTCTTTATGTAGCCCTGCCTGTACTGGAATTCAGTTTGCAGACCAGGTTGGCCAGGAATTTACAAAGATCTGCCTGCCTCTGCCTTTCAAGTTCTGGGATTAAAAGTGTGTGTAACTCTGGGCTATCCAAAATGGCACTTCATGATTGTTTTCTTCAGATTGATCAATCTGCCTCTTCTCTTCCTTCGCTTCTTCTCCTTTTTTTTCAGGACAATTCTAATGGATATTCTAGTTTGCTTTCTGTTGCTGTGATAAAAACTGACCAAACCTAGCTGTAGACCAAACTGGCTTTGAACTCACAGAGATCTGCCTGCCTCTGCTGTCTTCTACGTGCTGGGATTAAAGGTGTGTGCCACCACTTGGTGAAGCTGGACAATTTCAATGGTGGAAGAAAAAGACATGAATTTGGTGAATAAATGGTTATTTGTATAATGCATTTTGGCGGTTTAAGACAGTCTGTCATATATAGTTCAAGCTTACCTCAAACTGCCTGTGTGGTCGAGGATGACCTTGAACTCCAAATCCTTTTGACTAAGTAAGATAATAGGCTTGTTCTACAACACTTCTCTAGCCTATTCTTGAAGCCATGAGTAATTATAGAAAATTAAATAGGGTAGAGCATTTAAAAATTAAAATAAAACAAAGAAACACTTATCTTCTACTAATCCAAAATAGTCATCATTACTAGTAGTATCCTAGATTTTTTTCCAGTGCATACACAAATAAAAAAAATGATTGGATAGTTAAAAATTATTTTGTTAAGTGTGTATGAAATATTTTGATTTTCAAATAAAAATTTCAGCCCCACGTAACCTTTCTTCTGCTTTTTTATTGGCTGTTCAGCTCTTTATTAGAAAAATGAGGTGCTTTAAACAGACAAAATAACACAGCTTCACTGAGTTAAATATACAATAATGCATGCAATACATGTTTGCATCATTAAAACAAATGTTCCACAGCATGAACAAAAGTAACACACTTTATAATTATATTCTACAACATATATTGGAAGAATATAGTAAATTAATATAGAAATGACTTATTTACCATGTCTCTGCCCCCCCCCCCCCCAAAGCACACGAAAATTGCAGTATAGTTCATCTAGGCCAGAATTATTTGTACCTTATAAGTTAATGTAATCAAACACATTTTAGTATCCATACATAAAAATTCCCTAATACCACCATTGTGCTTTCTTTCCTTGTGATTTGGTTGTATTACTCTTGCCTTTTTCTTAGTTGTTTACTGTTCCTTGATAAAGTACTCAAATTTTATTCATATCATGTCAGCTAGGTTTATTCTTGGGCCTGTAGAAACTGCTGGCTGATTTGGTACTTGTTATTGGTCTTATTCAAGGTACCTCAGTTCTTTCACGTATCTTACTGTTCATGTGACCTTTCTAGCTGCTTTATGCAAGACTATCAAGTGTTTTTTTTTAATATTTATTTATTTTTTCTGTAAATTAATGTTTTCCTTGCATGTGTGTCTGTGTGAGGGTGTTGGTAACCCTGGAACTGGTGTTACAGACAGCTGTGAACTGCCGTGTGGGTCCTGGAAATTGAACCTGGGTACTCAGAAAGAGCAACTTACCCATTTCTTTCTTCCTACACCAAGCATTTTTTTTTCTTAGATTTATTTATTAGCAGGTGGTGGCACACACCTTTAATCCCAGCACTGGAAGGCAGAGGCAGGTGAATATCTGTGAGTTCAAGGCCAGCCTGCTCTACAAGAGTTACTTCCAGGACAGGCTCTAAAACTACAGAGAAACTCTGTATCGAAAAACAAAACAAAACAAAAAATTATTTATTATGTATACAGTGTTCTACCTGCATGCATGCCTAAACGCCAGAAGATAATATCAGATCTCATTACAGATGGTTGTGAACTAAGGACCTTAGGAAGAACATTAACCCCTGACCCATTTCTCCAGCCTTGGAGCAATGTTTTTGTTTTTCAACATGATTACTTCAGTAGTAGAGGTGGAAGCTCTTAAAGTTCCTTTTTCCTAGATTTAAATACTGTCTATTGCAGTGAGTCACAAGACTAACTCGGAGTTGGAGGAGAGAATACTTTTTGATAGAACAGTGGAACAAAATGGAAGTATCGCTGTTTTGGAGTAATCAATTAAAAGAAGTATAATAAAGTTTCTTCTGAAATTTGAGTGAAAGGTTTTATTCTGTTTACATTTTTGTTTCACTGTATTTACAGTCAGAAACAGTGGTTGTTTTTAGTATGTTATATTAAGAACTGTATCCTTAATATTTATGTGTTTTGTTCTGCAGGAATATAATAATGCCTTTTAGGACAGGGAAAGGAAACTTATTCTTCCTGTCTTGAATAGGTGAAGTGGTTTAATGGGTTAAATTTTTATGTATTTTGGGAAATAGATAGATTCAACTAACTGAATATTCATACACAGTACTGAGAACATTTTCGTAGATAACCTGTGATAGTAAACAAAGTTAGGATCTTATTATGTAATTTCTTATTTAACCAAATTTTCTTTTGTATTCAGGTGTGGATTAGTTCTAGTGCTTCACAGTTGCATTAGTGTAACCTTGCCTTGCTCTCCCTTGTTGTCTTTGTTTTGCTTTTGGTTGTTGTTATTAGAAACTGAGGAAACAATTTCTTTGCTTGAGTTTCTTTGTCCTCGTGTCTAGTAACTGAACGTTCAGTACATGGTAGCTTGATATGGTGGTGCCCACAAAGAGTCCTAGCACTGAGGTGGTTGAGGTGGGGTATTTCTCATTCTAGATCTTACATAGGAGCCACTTCTTTTCAAAACAATAAAAGCCCAAAGAATTAATTATGTGTGTGTGATATGTGAAGTGTCCTGTAGGTCTTAAAATGCTGTTTATAAAAAAATGGATTTTAGCAAGGAAAAAAAAATCTATTTTTGCTATATATAAATATAGCAAGTAGAGACAGCCTTTAGTTGTTCATTGTTATTACTTAGATTGGACAAAGATAAGGAAGGGTCATTTAAAAATAATTTTTATACATAACTGAAAAAATGGGTGATTTCTCTTACAAAGGTTATAAAAGAATATTTCATATATGTGAATTATTAATATTAAAACATGTTACTTCTGTTTATTTTTAGAAATACAAAGAAAAGGACAAACACAAACAGAAACACAAGAAGCAACCAGAACCATCACCTGCCTTGGTTCCTTCTTTGACTGTTACTACAGAAAAAGTAAGATTGAAGTATCAAATTTTATTTTATGTAATTAATGAAATATTGGTTTTTGACTTCCAAGGAGTCTTTTTATTCCCAGTGCTCTGGTTACAATTTTGCCCACCTTTCTATCCATGTATGCACTTAGAACTATCGTTTTCTTTGTCCTTTATGCTATTTTCTGTTTATTCTGTCCTTGTCTTCAAGGACCATGTAAGGATAACAAATGAATGGCACCGTCTAAATTAAGAAATAGGATTTAATTCAGATTTCAGCTACCTGTGACTTAGAAATCTGGCTTCACCACTTAGTAATTGAACCTCTTAGGTTGATTTGCCTTTCTGCAACACTATTTTAATACCTGTAAAATAGGGGAAATAATAATTGAAATTAAGATAAAATATTTAATATTACTAGCATTAAGTATTATTAAAAACATTAAAAGAACACATACGTCTGGTTCATATTAATTGTTAGGCATTACTCAGATTATCATAAGATGATTTGAAAACAGACTAGAAATGGGAACATTTGACTGGGAAAGAGGTGAGTGAGGAAGTGCATTTGGAGATGAGGCTCATATAAGGGCTTCCCTGCAAAGGTCTAGCTGCGTAGGCCTTGTGTAAAACCTCGCCTCGGTGTTAGTGAAAAGGGAGCTATTAGGCAGAACTGAAATTAAATATGGTGTGTGACTTGAGTTTTATACTGAGTTTGGGTTGCTTTGGTGAAGGGAGGGGGAGGGAGAAGGTGGGAAGACGAGACGCCAGGGAGGCTATAAGGAGGTTCTTAAAATGCCCACCACTGAAGGTGGCACTGGAACTGGAGATAGCAAGAGGTGTTCATGTTTGAGTACATTCAAAAACGAACCCCTTGTGACTTTCTAAAAGATACACTTGAGGCTTCAGAAGAAAGAATCGTCATGTATACAGGTTTGGGTATCAGAACATGTTCAGCAGTTTAAAATAAAATAAAAATTTATCATGTCCCTGGTTCTGTTTGCAAGGTAGTCTGGATACACTGTACTAGTCTATCATTGGTAGAGGCTAAAATCAGAGTGTCACATCGCCTCTCACTGGGATGAATCTTTTTAACTCAGATTGTGGTTGTAGGATTGAGGCTCCATTCTGTGTCTGCGACCCCTTTTCCAGGCAGCCCACTCTTTGCTAGGTCCCTCTCCCTGGTCAGCTCCTTCATCCCAGAGCCGGGAGCATCATGTTTAGTGTTTTTCTAACTTTACCTCTGCTGTGTCTTCTGCCTTTAATTAATTTGAAGTCCTTCTTTATATTCAGAACCAGATTTTCTTATTTTCATGGTAACAGGAGGGTGAAAGAGGAAAAAGCCTTTGATTTTGGTACCTGGAGATTTAGTTTTGTGTCATTGTTTTTCTAAAAAGTTCGTAGAAGCATATAAGCATCAGTTTATTTCTGTTTTTAAATTTGTGACAAATTGAACCTAATCATTTATAAAGTAATCTTAATAGATTCATTACTTTTTATAATTAATAGGAGACATAGTAGTTTTCTTACCATCATTGCAAATAACTTAAGGGTATTAATTTTGCATCCCCAAGGGTCCCCATACAGAAGATTTTCTGTAGTTAGTGAGATTTTCTTCTTGTAGTATTTATAGGAGAGGATAAAGACCACCCTCCCTCCCTTCAGTATTGCTGAAGTTAGAATACTAGGCCTCATTACTGCTAGGCAAGTGGTTTCCTACTGAGCTATACACCAGCATCAGCCCTGTAAGACTTGTTTTCAAGATGGGGTTTCTCTGAGTTATAGCCCTGGATGTCCTGGAAATGCATTTTGTAGGCCAGGCTGGCCTCCAACTAACAAAGGTCTGCGGGCCTCTGCTTCCCAAGGGATTAAGGGCGTGTATCACCACCTTCTGCCAAGACTTTTTTGGAATTGCTTTCTTATGTATAATTTTTATACTTTAAAATTTTAACGATTAATATTTTAAGAAATCTTACAGACTTGTTATAATGAAGTCAAAGTACAAATTTATAAAAGTCACTTTCTTTTTCTTCTTTCCTTGCACTATATACCAAGACAGTTATATTTGAAGGTTAAGCTTTTCTTTCTTTTTTGTTTTGAGACAAGGTTTCTCTATGGTGTTCTGTAGACCAGGCTGACCTTTCTACCTCTGTATCCACCAGCCTCTCCCTCCCCAATGCTGGGATTAAAGGCATGTGCCACCATTACCTGGCTACTTTTTAAAGTAATCCTAATTTGGAGAAAATATAAATGCCTATTTTATAATAAAGTTCAGTATACCAGATACATTGGGCATTTTGTTACTCTTAATTTAGTTATAGCAATTATTTAATAAGTTACACATATTTAAAGTAAAACAATATTAAAATTATAAAGACGATGATAAGGAGGGAGCAGGTCTCAGTGTTGATTTGCTTGGCTGGAAATGTACAGAATGCCACCTACCTCTGTCTCCGGAGTGTTGGGGTTAAAAGTGTACAGCAACACAACAAAAAGTGCATTTTTGATAAATTTTAAGTACACGTATTAATAAAAAACTACCACCATAGTTCTAGGCAAAAAATGTGTTTACAATTATCTTTTGTGTCTCCCATTCCCATCCCTCCTTAGGTAATTCTGCTTTTTGTAACTTTAAATTAGCTTGAATCCTTTAGAAAGTTTAAAAGGAGAAACATACAGTATGGCACTTTTTAAATTTTGGTTGGATTATTTCATTCTGCATAAGATTTGAACTGTGTTATGTGTATCAATAGTTGAATCATTTCTGTCATTGTCTGCTTTCTTGTTTTATGGCTAGAACAGCTTGCTTATTGATTCAGTAGTTGGTGAATATCTAGGTTTCTGTTTTTTGGCTATTACAAATAAAGCTGCTATGAGCATATTACAAGCCTTATATAGATACATGCTTTTTTATCTTTTTTATTTTTGTGTAGCCTAAATAATTAAAACTTAGAGACAGATATTGGGAAAAACAAAGCAGCCAACCACTAGAGAGACCTTTTACCTCTCTCTACCAGTGCTCAGACCGAAGGCACGATCCTCACATTGCCAAACCTAAGACTTGACACTCCACTGATCTCCTAGCCCTTATATGCCTTATATTCTTCTCTCTGCCCAGCCATATTGCTTCTCTGTCCACCTCCCTATTGCTGGGGTTAAAGGCATGTGCTGGGTTCACCTTTGTATGAGCTCTGTTTTCCTTTTAGATAGTTTTAATCTTCTGTAGCCCAGGGTGGCCTTGAACTCAGGATCCACCTTCTTCAGCCTCCCAAGTACTGGGATTAAATGCATGTGCCACAACTGCCCGGTTTGTTCTCTTCATTTTTAATATTAACTCCTGCTTTACCTGGGATTAGTGTTGGCATATCTTTACTCATCCATTTTCTTCAAACTCTGTGTGTCTATACTTAATGTCTTAGTTACTTTTCTGTTGTGATTACATTGACAAAGGCAACTCAAGAAAAGTAGCTTGCTCTGGCTCATGATTCCAGGGTAGAGTCCATCCTGGCAGAAATCACAGCACTAGGAGCCTGACTGAGACAGAAGCTAGTCACATGGCACTTGGAGAGGGAAATGGCTATCTGTGCTAAGCTCTCCCCCCCCCCTTTTTTTTTTCCTTTTTGGGTCAGGGTTTCTCTGTGTTGGTTTGGAGACTCTCCTGGAACTCACTCTGTAGACCAGTTTGGCATCAAACTCAGAGATCCACCCTCCTCTGCCTCCTGAGTGCTGAGATTAAAGGCATGCACCACCACCGCCACTGGGGTGCTCTTCTACTTGACTCCAGGATCCTAGCCCAAGGAACGTCACTGCCTTCAGTGATGAAGCCTTCCTACCCCCAATTAACCTGATCAAGATAACCTCCCTTGAATATGCCAGGTGATCTTAGATGTCATCATGTCAACAGTTGAGATTAACCATTGAAAGCTTCTTCTAGGCCACACGTGGTCTTTGAATTTTGATCTACTCTGACAATCTTTCTGTGATTAAACCATGTTTAGAACACTTAATTTATATATTTGGGCTACTAGGGACCGTAATTGGTACTATTTTCTATTTGTTGATTTTGTTTTTTCTTTTCTCTATCATTACAGCCTTTTGTGATTTTGTATATTCTGTTCTCCTTTTTTGTCCTCCCTCCCTCCCTCCCTCCTTCCCTCCCTCCCTCCCTCCCTCCCTCCCTTACAACCTCCCACCCTCCCTCCTTCCTTGCCTGTCTGTCTTTTTGTTTCTGGCCTTTATCTTGCTTATAATGGCCTATTTTATTGAGGCACTGTTACAGGATCTTCTGTGTGGCTCTAGGTGGACTTCTACTCAATGTTCTTGTGTATTGGTTTCCAGAATGCTATAATTGGGTGTAGGTTACCATACCATTTATTAAACATCAAACCATACGAACACTTAATTACTGTCTCAATGATTTTGATATTTTTGTTGTATCTGATGTTGTTTTTGATGCTCTTAGTTTCTTTTTTTATTTTAATTTTTTATTAATATTTGTTGAGCTCTACATTTTTCTCTGCTCCCCTCCCTGCCTCTCCCCAGCCCCCTTCAACCCTCCCCCAAGGTCCCCATGCTCCCAGTTTACTCAGGAGATCTTGATTTTTTCTACTTTCTACTTCCCATGTAGATTAGATCTATGTAAGTCACTCTTAGTGTCCTCATTGTTGTCTTAAGTTCTTTGGGATTGTGGTTTGTAGGCTGGCTTTCTTTGCTTTCTGTTTAAAAACCACCTATGAGTGAGTACATGTTGTGATAATTGTCTGGGTTTCCTCACTCAAAATGTTTTCTAGCTCCATCCATTTTCCTGCAAAATTCAAGATGTCGTTATTTTTTCCACTGTGTAAATGTACCAGATTTTCCTTATTTATTCTTTGGTCGAGGGAATTCTGACTGTGACAAGCAAAGCTGCTATGAACATAGTTGAGCACATGCCCTTGTGGCATGATTGAGCATCCTTTGGATATAAACCCAAAAGTGGTATTACTGGGTCTTAAGGAACGTTGTTTCCTAATTTTCTGAGAA